CAGATATGTTCAGTTAAAAAAAAAAAAAATAGGAATTTTTTTTTTTTTTATATATTTAACTAATCATAACACCGGAATATCCAAACTGAATTGATCCTTATGTAGGACCGAATAGTAACCGAATTGTTGGTACGTAGATATATATATATTTTTTTACGGAGATTTTAGCTAGCTTACACGTTTTAAGTAACACAAGGTATTGCCAAGTATTATGTAATTCTAATGATAACCAATTATTTTTAAAGTTAATAATTTAACGTTAGATGACTTTCTTTTGATATTCGATGCTTTTTTTACAAGATAAACACTGAGGTTGGATTTTTTCAAATTCACTTAAAGAAGAATACAAAATTACGTAACTTATAAAAAAATTGCCAAAAAATAATAAATTTTTAATAACAAGTTTTAAATGAATAAAGTAATTGGTTCAAAACTTACAGATAGTTTTAACGGCTGAAGTGTTCTGTACAGTACATGTACCTGTATGTGGCTCACCGTTGTTGCAGAAAAACGTCAACTTTTTTTTTTTTACAAAGAAAATTTGTTACGTATCAGAAATTTATCATCTAAATGCTCACAAAGTTTTTTTTTTTAATGTATAACGATAATGCTGTAATGTATGAAATTATAAATCTTTACAAGTTTTTTTATTATATAATGTATGAGAAAATTTATGAGCTCCTATTTCCTTATTTTCTTTTAACTTGTTGTATTAAAATGTAATTGTAGGTAATTGTGTCGACAACAGTCGACAACAATGGTAAGTTCATTAAAGCTGGACCATTATTAATGCATTATAAAAAAAAAGGTCGTATCAAATAGCGATAACAATAACGATAATGGTTAAATAACAAACTTCTTTAGAAAGCTCTTTTAATGAAAATTGTAAAAATATAAATTATAATTTATTTATTAAAATATTCGTACATATACCTATATATATATTATATATATATATAACATATATATAACTTTTGAATGCGTATTAAATAATTTTATTATACGTACGCATGTATATAGTTATACGTATATTACAATATTACGTATACGTATGTAGTTGTTATACGTAGTATCAGTTGTCATGATTTTACCAATAGTAAGTTCATTTGTACATCATTTACATCATTGCAGCTGACTATATGCATCTTATGTTTGTGGCATAACGATATTTGTATAAATTTGATAGTCATTACACAAGAAACACCAAAACTCCCATTGTTTTATTATTCCGGGAATAGAGAAACATAATACAAGTCCTGAATATCGTTGAAAATTATCCAAAGAAATCTTATAAACATTTAAACATTTAAAATTTTAGGGATAGAATGAAATAAATTTTGATCTTTGCTTAAATGAATTTTACTTTATCGTACTTTATACTTTATGATAATCATTTTAAATTATTAATAAAAAAAAAAAAATAAAAAAAAGACTGTTATAAACTGTTATAAAAATAGTACACAGTTTTAAAGTGATACAATCTACATCAAATTGTAAATAAGCATGCATTCAATTATTGTTTCAATGCGTATTAACCTTAGATAGCTTGCACTAATTTCCTTCCTATAACGCATTTTTAATACTTGTATGAAGGGAAACAAGAATTTTTTCCCCTAACTTACCTTGCATATATCAAGACATTATCTACCTTCATTATCTTACATACAAAAATAATATCCATATGGTCTAAATTTCACAAAGGAAAAATGTCAAAGGATTGTTGATATATATCTTGGGAAATTCATACATGTTTATTATACTTGAGCAATTCTAATTCGTCGTTACTTTTTACGTCAATGACCAATGATATTTCAATCCGAACTAACTTTTTTTGGCTTATTTCTTTAGTAAAAAAAATTATAATAAATCATAATAAATCATAATAAATCAGAGTTGGACTAATCATCATTCACGTCAACTAAACTCCAACTAAATTCCCAAATGGAATTTTTTTTGAATTATTCAAGTTATTCAATTTATTCATGTTATTTATATTATTCGTGTTATTCATATTATTCATGTCATCGAGAAAGATGTAAATAGAAATCAATAAAAATTGACGTAATTTATTCATTTATATTATTGACTTTTTAAAAAACAAAGAACGACTACAATAATCTATAATAATCTATAATAATCGAAATAATTTGTCCAATGATAATTATGTTTATTTATTTATTTTATCTTAGCTTAAACAATGGATTCGCATTGATTCAACGCATTCATAAGCAAGATAATTCTAAAAGCATTACAGTATGTCAAAACATTTCACAATTTCGAACTTTTTTTTAAACAAACAACTGTCAAAACCTTTTTTTTATGATATATTATGATATATATATATTATAATACAGTATATTATAATATACTGTATTATAATATATTATACTTCAAAAAAATACACAAATTATAAAACAGCACACCAATTAGAAAACGTGGAAAAAATGTAACAATTTGCGGGTAACACATCAAGAATGATGAATTAAAAAAAAAAAAAAAATCATGAAATAAAAAATAATAATAATAAATAATAATTTTTATAATTGAAAATACAAAAATAACTTTTCTCATGTCTCCTGCGTTATCTTTTTTCTTCGTTATCATCAATTAAATTTATATGAGTAATCATTGAAAAAATAATTCTTTACTATTCATGCTTTTACGCACTTTTACGCAGTAAATTGACCAATTCAAATTATCAAAAGCGTAATCATGTGATGAAATCGGTGATGCAAAATGTAGCCACGAGGACAGGGGAATTTTTGTCCGATCCCTGCATGATTGATATCAAGTATTCCGGGTAATTCAGTAATTGATAATGATAACAGGGTTGATAATGATAACAGGGTTGATAACTACTGCACTACGTAAAAAGTTACAAAGAATTAGACACATAAATTAGGAATTAAATTTTTAAAGATAATGATCAAAACTTTAAAAAGAAAAAAAAAAAAAGAGAGATAACCAAAACACAAGTAAACAAAGTAAAACAAAGTAAACACAAGTAAACACAAGTGGTTAAGTTTTCGTTCCCACGGAAATTTTAATAACAACTTCTTAGGAATTAACTAACCATTTATGATAATCAAACAACAAACTTTCTACTCTTTTGTTTAGTGCATTAGCACAGTTGAAAACATCAGATATTGTTATTTCCTTTCTATTATCGCGATCTCGTTGGATGAATGCAATAAAATGCAATAAAATGCTTCGTTGGGAAAAAATCAATCTTAACGCATATTATCAACGTTTATTTTTATGAATTTATTGTGCCATTATTATTTAATATATTCCCCATATTTAATATCTTTTTCTGCATCGTCGTTTTTTTGTGTATCCATACTATAAAATATACTTCAAATATATATATATTATGTATGTGTAACACTGGTTACAAGTTTTTTCATCTGCTTCTACATGAATATGGTGAATACGCGATACCTTTTTTCTAGAAAAGATAAATAAAAAAAAAATTTAAATAATTATATGAAAAAGATTTACAATGAACTATTAGCAATATCGTCATATTTATGTAATTAATTTTACAAATATACAAATATACAAATAGAGTATTTTAAAAAAATTTCGATAATATATATATACAGTATTAGTTTTTTTCAAAGACATTCGGGTATAAATGAAAAATAATAATAATAAATTATCCAGCCATTTTACCTTTGTAATCTATCTGTTATCGACATACGTACGTACGTAAGTATGTAAGTATGTAAGTACTGTACATGTACACACTCCGTTATGCATCACATTTTACATTTCCTATCGTAAGCGGCTTGGTCTATTTTTTTATTTTATTTTTTTTTCTTCTTGATGTAATATTTTTTTTTATATTTTTTTTTTATATTTCATTTTCTACCACGCTCACATTAATCCGTGTGGCTGCGTGTGAAATCAACGCGTTTATTTTTTCAATTTGCCAGTTAACTTTTTGATTTCATTTGCAGCAATGTTTATTGACTGTGCGAAGGCTAAAAAAAAAAAAAAAACAAAAAAAAAAAAAAGTTTACGAAAGACTGTTGAGATTGGATAATTCCAATTTTGTCATGAATGGGATTTCTTTGTCTTACCTAATTTCTTGTTTTTTCGTTAATTATTTATATTCTTAAAACCCTGTGTCTTAAACCCGAATACAAGACTGGATATTGTTTTAACCATTCATTTATAAATTTATATACATTGTGTCACTTTTAAACTAGTTCCATACTGTGCAACTAAGAGACGTTAGCATAATGAATTCTCATACAATGAGGAGACAATATAGCTCACCATGTGGTTGGTTCGTGCTACTATTATTACTTTGATACCTCACCTTTTCGTTTGAAATGATATCATAACATATATATATGTATATTCAATATACATTATTTTTATACTTTTATACTTTTATATATATATAATTTTTTTTATTAGTTCCAAGGGGACTGAGGGGTGCATACACAAATTGCATATACTTTTAAAATCTCCAAATAATCGGAGTTCTGTGTGATTTTTTTATAGTAAATAAAGTATTTCGGCGTTCAAATTAAATACGTACAATATAAATAATTCATTTTATTAGTGCTCGTAAAATTATTTTAATTAGCTTATTAGATAATTAATTATTGTAATTTTTTTTTTGTTTTACAATAAGTCTTTAATATATTAATAATATATTAATATATATAACTTCATTCTTTTTAAAATTTTTTTTTTCGGATATTATATATAAAAGAGTCGAAAATCTTTTCATTCCTTTATCAAATTCTCTTTGTACAGTTTTTTTCTTTTGTACCAAGCTATTAATTCTTCGTTCTCTCTTTTCACTTTTCACCTTCTTTACGTCTACATTCTTTTCCTTCACGTTTCCTCACACTTCTTCTCTATCATCTCTATCATCTCTATCATCTATATCTTCTATACCTCGTTAACGTCAAATCAATTCTTTTTTTTAAAAAAAAAAAACTTGCAAAAAAAAAAGTTCTTCTTACAAAAGAGAAACAATGATGACTGAAAATATTAATATTCGACGAGACGATGATATTAATGAGGATATTAACGAGGATGACTCTCGTTATTTCATCCCCGTCACTGAAAGTGATGTATGTAAAAAAAGAATTCGAATCTTTATTTTATAAAAAAAAAAATACGTTTGATTTATTAAATTGATTGATTTAAAATTGATTAAAATATATACTGTTTATTTTTTTTCGGTCGGCGAATTTATAGACGGATCGCGATTTATTGTTCGTAAGTAAAAGTATATAATTTTCATTCTCCGATCATGCTTTTTTTTCCGATTACTAAAAAAAGTTTTTTTTTTCTCACACATTTAGCATTATGTGTTCAAGTCTGTCCTTAAAGGAAACTATATCAGCCCTATTGATAAGTCCACCCTGAAGGTAAATTTTTTATTGAAAAATATTATAATATTTATATAATATTTATAATATTTATAATATTACAGAATATAATATTTATAATAATTTTATTAATCTTATACAACTTTATAATTTATCTAGACTTGTCTGGATATTGCGTAAGGATTCTCATCTAATTCTTAATTCAACTGTAAATTATAGCGTGATCAAATTTTTCTCACTCTAAATAAAATAATTATTATATAGTTATGGTGGTGGCTCTTGGATGATGGAAATGGCAACGTACGAATGAATTTAAATTAATCTAAAATAATCTAAATTATTTAAATTTTCAATCATGATTATAAACCTTTCTTTTTTTTTTTTTTTTTTGGATTTATAGTGATTTCCCCGACTGCCAATTTTATGGGATTGACATTGAGCCTCGTACTCCTGAGGCGGTCTATCCTAATAATTGTACTTTTGAGAAAGGTGACTTTCTCAGTAAGTATCTTATTAATAATCATTAATAATTATTACAACCTGATTATAACAATATTTTATTTTATTCATTAATAATGTAATGTAGAAAAACTTCCTTATCCAGACAACATGTTTGACTTGGTTCACATTAGATTGACATTAGTTTGGCTTCCTATCGGTAACTTACTCGAGGAAATTGCTAGAGTAACCAAACCCGGTGGCTTCATTGAATTTCTGGTATTTTTTTTTTTTTTACATTATATAATTTTTATTTATTTATTTATTTGTTTATTCACTATTATTATTATTATTATTATTATTATTTAACGATATGCAGGATCAAGATGTTTCGTCTTGTCCAGTGTTAGTAATATATTTAATAATTCTCGTATATTATATAATGTTAATAATTAAATGCTAATAATTTTATTTGTTCGGAAATTTAGTAATGCCGGTCCACTAATGACCTGCTTAGTTAAGGCTTGGAAAGACATTCAAGTCTCGAAAAATATCGATGTTGATCTCTTGGCTAACTTGGATCAAATATTGATTAAAAAAGGATTTGAAGATGTCCAAACCAAAAAATATCCCGTACCAATGGGAAAATGGGCCGGCATGGTAATTTCATAAATAATTTTCATAATTTTCATAATTTTCATAATTTTCATAATTTTCATAATTTTTCAATAATAATTAACTTTTATTTTGACATTCATTTATTGTTAATAGGTTGGTGAATTTTTCCTGTCGGCATTCAAACTGTTCACTATCAGTACTGCCTCGCTCACCTCTGGCCATTTAGGCCACCTAAGCCTTCAAACTGAAGATGAGTATGCTGAACTGGTTCAGAAACTTGGAGCTGAATGTGAAGAATATCAACCTGTCATTAGCATTCATGCCGGGTTCGCCAAAAAAATTTAAAAAAAATTCTTGCCAAACTTGCCAAACTTGCCACATTTGAAATTTTTTGATTCTTATTTTTTTTCAGTTGTCTATGTTTTTAAAATTATCTTTTTTTTTTATTCTTTTTGCTCTAAATTTTTACAGACCTATATGACTATATGATTCATTTAATTTGAACCTTTTTAAGCCATTTCTTAATCGTTCCAAATTTTTTCAATGTTTGATGCCTTAACTTCTCAACGTTGAGAATTTCTTGGACGATTAAACTTTTATGCTTCAAACATTTTTCTTATTTTTCTTATTTTTCTAATTTTTTTAATTTTTCTAATTTTTTCTAATTTTCCTTATTTTTCTTATTTTTCTTATTTTTCTTATGATACCAATTAACAAAAAAAACATTAAGCAACAAATAATTTTTGAAATTTTTATGATTAGGGAAGGTACCAAAAACAAAGATTATTACCCTGCGGCGATTTATTATTATGACATGGCTTTTATCTTTTATCCAACTTTACCTTTTAATCTTTTCTTTTATTTTCTCCTTTTTATTATATATTTACAAAAAAAAAAAAAAAACAAAAAAGCAAAAACAAAAAGCCTCTCAAAAACATAACATAATCCCTTAAAAGCAAAAAAAATATTAATAGTTATAATAATAGCTATACGATAGAATTGGTTCTACTCTATCAAAATATATTAACCTTTTTTTTTTTTAAATATCGTAATTGATTGGTTCCCTTTCGTTTTCGTTTCGTCTTCAACCTCTACAACCTTTTTTAAATTTTAATTTTCGCGATTTTTCTTCGTTTGAGTTTATATTTTTTTTTTAGCCGTTTATCTTTTCGTTACGATCAATTTTACTTATCTCTTAATAATGTTTTTCTATTTTTTTTAAATTAGTCTGTTTTTTTCTTTTTTTTTTTTTATCTTATTTTCTTTTATCTCATAATAATTGCTTTAGCTTCGGAAAATGCAATAATTATTTTTGTCTGGATTTTTTTTTTTTTTTTTTTTTTTTTTTTGTTTTTTTTTTTTTTATCAGTTTTTTTTTTTAAAAAAAAAGGGAAAATTTGTATTTTTTTTTATTTAAAAAAAAAAAAAAAAAAAAAAAATTATCAAAAAAAAAAGTGAATTTTGTTTACTTGATTTTATTAATATGTGAAGTACGATCAATCATTTATTTTTATTTTATCGTTACATAATATATAAAACGCGTTCGAAAAATTTGAGAAGCGCGTGAAAAATTATTATGTAAGATTGTTAAATTGAAAAATCGACAAAAAATCTTTTTGGCCCGTGCGTCGTCAAATTTGACATGAATAACATGTGACTATACGTATAAATTTTATACGTAAAAAAAAATGTGTAATATATATTATTTTAATTTACAATATTAAGTTTATCTAATCCGTCATATTACCTAACACTAAAATTTCACAGTTAATAATTTCCTGTGATACCGATACGTATTTATTATCTATTTATTATTCGTAGGAACTTTTTGAAAACCGGGTTTATCTTTATGATAACGTTAAGAAAAAAATTATCCTAAACGTTTTATCATGTGATAGCTACTTTAAAAATTTTTTTATTTTATATATAAAATTATAATATAAGGGTCTAGGATAAAATGTCTAAACTTCCGGCTATAAAACTCTTATCGTTATACGTAGTTCAGGAACACGAAAATCCTTGTATCGAATAATAATATAATAATATATATATTTGGACGTGATTGGGTCAGAAAAAAAATTTTTTTTTAATACACGTTTTACTGTGTATCAAATATATACATATATATTATATTAATTAATTAAAGACGTAATTAATAATATTTAAAGTTTGGTATTTGTTTCATTATTATTATCGCTACGAGTTTAGTTTAGATTCAGTATTACTAATACTCGATAATGTAGAAGTACACCCTTTTTTAAAAAATCAAGTTCTTACAAATTCTACGTACGTGCGTACGTACGTAACCAATTTATTTAATATGCAGAACTACAGTATGTATAAAAAATGTTTTGTACGTACGTTCGTAAAAATTTCCAAGAAAATTTATAAGTTTAAAAAAACTTATTTAAATAGTACTATATACTTAATAATATATAATATATATATATTAAGAATTATATATGTATAATTTATAGTTATTGTTCATTTAAATAATTTGTTTAAAGATTTTACACTATTGTTATATTTGTATCATATTGTTTTGATATAATATATAATAATTAAAGCTAATAAATTTTTTTTTATAATATTAACTAAAAAAAATCAAACTAATAATTTATCACGTACGTACGTACAACGTAGCTACCCCAGCAAGAATATCACGGCGATACGGCATATTTGCCGTATAAGTAGAAGTGCCGCATGCTGTATAAGTGTTATATGCCGTATGAATATCGTATGCCGTCATTCACTTTATTTTAGTGGGTGAGTATAAAGATGATCTAGATTTTAAAAAGCGATTCATGTTTACAAACACTTATTATATATATACTAACTAATTCCTTCAGAATACTATTTTATTAGGTCAGAGAGTATTACAATAAATTTTTAATGATATAAAAAAATATATTTAATATTTTGACGGTGATTAGATGGTAACCTTTACGGCAAAAGTATACATTGTAATAAAGACAACACGTCTAAAGCGTGGTATTGGCATGTGATCCCGACAAGCAAAAATGAGAATATTAATGATTGCATCGGAGAATTTCAGCTTAAAACCATGAGATTGCAATTTAACGGATTTCATTCAATAAATTACAGTATAAGCGTTATTATGAAAATAACTTCTATGTTATCGACATTAGCGCTCATGGGCGTCCCGAATTAACGCGATAAATGATATACAGTAGACATCAGTGTGTAAAACTCACTTTTGATTTTATGTTTTCACTGGTTCTCAAAAAATTTTTAAATGTGCTCAATACAGTCTAGGAATATACCATATTTGGTTATTGCAGATCACACCTTATTTAGTAATAATCATCAGTCGATTTGTTCT